TCATATAATAATTATAAATTGTGTTAGCAAATAGAAATTTGACACTTAGAGTGTATTTGGGGCACATTCTTTCGAAAAAATGTATTATTGAATAGTAGATTGATGGAGAATGTGTGGTTTAAAATGAAGGAAAAATTATTGCTGTGATGGAAAATATTATTTTATTGAAGAATGTGTGGTTAAAAATGAGTAGAAGAATGAGAATGAAAAAAATAATGTGTATCAAACAGGGCATTAATCTACTATCTATTTGAAAAAGTACAAATATGAATTCATGCATTAAATGTTATCTTCTCCCTAGAAGTGGGTCAATAACCACCAAGTTATCACGTTTTTTAGTTCATTTTTGGTTGAATCGATTAGGATTATTGGTTTACTCATGAAAATCAATTCTAATCAACCCTGAAATTCTTCAGTCGCCCACGCCGATCCCGAGTCTCCCTTAGCCAATTAGTGGTGAATCTCATCCATTTTTTACTTGAATCGTGCTGAAATTTTTCAAATTTTATGGTCAGATCTTGACATCCTTACAAAATTTATATATATATATATTGATTGATGGCTCAAATCATAAAATTACGAGCGCAATTCCTCGCAAGATTATTCGTTTTGACAATTCTGGTGAATTTAGATCACAAGCATTCAATAATTATTGCATGTCAATTGAGATTGTTATTGAGCATTTGGTTGTGCATGTCTATACCAAAATGGTTTAGCGGAGTCATTTATTAAACATTTACAACTTATTGCTAAATCATTACTTATGAAAACAAAACTCTCAACTTCTGTTTGGGGTCATGTCATATTACATGTTGCGTCATTGGTTAGTATCAGACAAACTGCATATTATCAATATTCACCTTTCAGCTGGCATTTGGTCATAAACCTAATATTTCTCACTTGTGGGTTTTTGTTTTGTATTGTTCAAGTCTCTATTTCATCTCTATAACGAACTCAAATGGGTCCCCAACGAAAATTTGAGATTTATGTGGGTTTTGATTCACCATTTATTATTAAGTATCTTGAACTTTTAATAGACGATTTATTTATTACACGTTTTGTAGATTGGCATTTTGATTAAATGACTTTTCCAACTTTGGGAGGGGAATAACTACATCCTAATAAAAAATGTAAAATTTTTTTGAATGAAATAACTCTATCTCACTTTGATCCCTGCAGAAATCAATGTGAACAAGATGCTGAAAAATCATTCAATTGCAAAGAATTGCAAATCAAGTACCATATGTATTTGTTGACACAAGAAAAATGACAAAGTCATATATACCAGCAGAAAAATTTCAGTGAAAATTGATATCCCTACAGGACAGTTTACTATAGCAAATAAGTCTCATATACGTCAGAAACGTAGTCGACCAGTTGGTTCAAAAGATTTTATACCTCAAAAAAAAAAGTATAAGAGAAAAATTAACCAAAAACTTCATAAGAAGTAACATTAGAAAAGAATGATCAATCAAATATTGAAAATATGATTCCTAAAGAACTACAGGTGTCCAAAAATAATAAGATTTCAATAAATTACATATTATCTCATAAATTATGGGAACGAAATAATGTTGTTATAGACAATATTTTCGTCTTTAACGTGGCTCTTGATATTATGAAAAATGAGTATCTTGAACCATAGTTTATTAAAGACTGTCAACATAGAAATGATTGGCTAAAGTGTAAAGAATTCATACATGCGGAATTGAATTCCTTAGAGAAATGAAAAGCGTTTGGATTTGTAGTTCGAACACCTGAAAATGTAATCATGTTGGATACAAATGGATTTTTGTACAAATGAGAAATGAAAATAATGAAATTACAAGATAAAACGTCTGACTCGTAGCTCAATGTTTCTCACAAAGGCTCGATATGTACCTTATGGATATATGGTTCACTTGATAATGACATAGATATGAAAGTCCCTGAAGGACTTAAAGTGCGAGAAACAAATAATACATGCCCGAAAATCATGTTCTCAATTAAATTGTAAAGATAATTACATGGATTGAAACAATCCGGACGCATATGATATAATCGCCTCATCGAATATTTGTTGAAGGAATGCTATAAAAATGACGCTATCTACACATGTGTTTTCAATAAATAAATAAAAAAAGCAAATATCGGATTTATAATTGTGGTAATTTATGTTGATAATTTAAATTTAATTGGAACTTATGAAGAACTCAACAAAACTGTAAATTATTTGAGTTGGGAAAAATCAAATTCTATTTCGGATTGCAAATTAAACATTTTTCAAAAGAATTATTTGTTCATCAATCTACATATATAGAAAAAGTTTTAAAACGTTTTTATATGGATAATGTACATCCATTGGCATTATCTATGCTTGTTCGATCATTTGATGTGAAAAATGATTATTTTCGTCCATTTGAAGATGGAGAAAAGATTTTTTGTTCTAAAATATTATATCTTATTACAATTGGAGTATGAACTTATCTTGCGATCCGTACTCGACCCGACATAGTTTTTTCTATAAATCTCCTTACAAGATATAGCTCTACAAACACAAAGACATTGGAATTGTGTTAATCATATTTTTCGTTACCTAAAGGGTACTATTGATTTGTGATTATTTTATTCTCAAAAGTTGGGATTTGCTCTAGTGAGATATGTAGGTTATCTCACTGACCCACATAAAGTTAAATTACAAGTAAGATAAGTGTTTATATGTGGAGGAACAACTATATTTGAAGATCTTTGAAGCAATCATTGAAAACAACATCCTCAAATCATTCTGAAATTATTGCAATTCATGAAGTAGGCCGAGAATGTGTATGGTTGTGAAACATGACACATCATATCCAAATATCATGCGGGTTAATAATAACAAAAGATAGTCCAACAATTTTGTATGAAGACAATGTTACTTGTATTGCACAACTAAAAGGAGGTTATATCAAATGTGATAGGACGAAGCATATTTCTCCAAAATTCTTTCATACACACGAGTTTCAGAAAAATGGCGACATCGACATTCAACAAATTCGTTTAAGTGATAATATGACTGATTTATTTACAAAAGCACTGCCAACATCTACATTCAAGAAATTGATTCACAAAATTGAAATACGTCGACTCAAAGATTTTTAGTGATCAACATCAGGAGGAGTAATTGTACTCTTTTTCATTCACTTAGGTTTTATCCTACTGAGTTTTCCTAACAAGATTTTAATGAGATAACATTTATTTTTAATACTTCAAAATAATTGCATTCTTTTTCCTTCTTTTGATTTTTTT